AGGGCACCTATGCAATCCATTAGGACTGGTGGTTATCCACTCGAGAGGATTCAGATTGACATTCTTGGACCACTTCCTGAGACCAACAGGGGAAAAAAGTTCGTTGCTGTTGTGGTCCACATGTACAACAAGTGGCCCGAGGCGTATGCCCTACCTGATCAAGAGGCCGAAACCGTAGCGCACGCTGTTATGGACAACTTTATATGCCGCTTCGGTTGCCCTCGTGGAGTGCTTAGTGACCAGGGCCATAATTTTGAGTCGCGGACATTCCGTGGGTTATGCAGCTTGATTGGATCCATCAAACAGAGGACAACTCCTTAACAACCTCAGTGTGATGGGGTGCGGAACGGCTTATCCGTAGGGTTACTAATATCATTACCAAGATTGCAGAGGAACAAAAGCAATGGGATCAACATCTTCCTAAGGTCCTACTGGCGTTGCGAGCATCGACCCATGAAACGACGGGGTTCTCTCCCGGTATGCTGATGTTCGGCAGGGAGCTGAGGTTGCCCATTGATGCAATGCGAGGGGAACCCCCGTCAGAACAATCCTCTAATTACCCGTCATTTGTGAAGAAACAGCGTGAAATCCTCAAGGAAGTACAGGAACGAGTGGAGAAGAATGTAGCAGCCATTCTCCGTCACCAGAAAGATGTCTATGACGCACGCTGCAAGCGGAGATCAAGACCTTACAAAAAGGGTGATCTGGTCTGGCTAGAGGAGAAGGCTGTTCCCAGGTGGCTTCACCGGAAGTTCCCTCGTCCCTGGTCCGGGCCATAGAGGGTAGTCAAAGTCGTTTCGGACGTCACCTACAGAATACAGTGTGAGGAAGTGGCTCCCTTACGGAAGAGACGGAAGACCAGACTAATTGCGCACTTTAACCGTGTTAAGGCGTACCAAGCAGGGCCCGTTGAACTTCAGCCGACAATGCGCGACACCAAGGAGGTCGGCGACCTATCAATGGATCTGAATGTTGGAGAGCATGCTGTGGTGGGGTCACAGAGGGCCCACAACGTTGAACCTACCCAGACCCTTAGAAGTTCAGATAGGAACCGTCGTGCTCCTGTCTGGATGAGAGACCTTCTCTCATCCAGACAGGATCCTTTCTCTCTCAGAGAAGGACCTTAATACCACCCTTCTTCCGCTAGGGGAAGGGGTGTGTTACGTTGTTAGGAAACGAGGCTAGTCTCGCCCCAGGACTTGGGGGAAGAAGAACGGGAAAATCGGGTCGGCCATCTTGTTGTGTTGCTATAGTGTCGCCGCCGCTAATTGTATTAAAGGAGGTTTATTAAACGTTACAGTTATCTCACCATGTATGTAGATAACGAAGCGCAATTGTTGGAGTTGTTTGCATTTATCCTTAAAATGTTCCGCTCCATTCTTGTACATAAAAAAAGATTCAATTGTTGAATGCTGGTGATTATTTGTTCTCCTATTTCCGTTTATAATACGGCCGCAACGGAATGCGTCCCAAATGGAAGAAAAGCCTTTCCTCTTCCTAGTTCACAGTGCACAAAAATAGCTATTGGTACTAACCTAAATTCACACACTTGTATTTGACTTCCATGCATTTAAATACGTTCCGGCACGGACCATGACCAAAAACTGAATTATCTGCATGCAGCTCGCAACTAGCTTCTTCGTTGCACATTATCCGTACGATGGCAAGAGAGTTCTCAGCTTTGCAGTCTGTATTTTGAACTGTGGTTTGGTCACAATTGTCTGAGTCTAATCCACCATAATTTGCATCCACCACGTCGAATGCTTTTTCCTTCTCACAGCTTATGGAGCTAAGGAACTGCAGTGACCATGCACTTTTTTGTATAAATCTTAAGAGACACATACTGACATGCAATGGATAATCTAGTATAGTTTTTATTATTCACTATTTTATCAATTTTGACTTATTGTAAGTATTATGTATATAGTTAGTTTTTATATTAGTAGCGAAGAGCCACTATGTGGAAGTATACTAATAAAGGTCATTATTATTCCT